TAAAAAAAACAAAAATCAGATAAATGTTGGTGAAGGGCATAACCCAATTGTGTGTCAAGAGAACCATACTGTGCACTGGGAAATATTCTATAGAACCAACATGACCAGACTAAACATACAGAAGAGTCGGGTTGCCAATTGATTAGACTTTGACATTTTGTTTACAACTTTTAACGGCCTCTGGTTGTTCATTAACTATTTTTTGAGGTGATTACCACACTGTTTTGGCTGTAGCTTGATAACTGCTTACAGGAAATTTGTGGTGTTTTCTGTTCATTTGTTCCATCGTGTATAGGAGGTTACAGCCGACACAGGCTGTGGAGTGCAGGGCTGCAGTAATTCACTGACATCTGGAACTTCTTTATCAAGGTAATTTAACTGTGGTAATGCCTCCATATCGTCTGGAAAGCAGAGTCATTAAATGAGAAAAGTTGAATGATCGATTCACCATATTTTCCTTATTATTTTTTGTGAGATTTCCCCAGCCTACTCTCTTTCATTTATTCAATAATTTTCTATTGTTTCTTCCTATTTCTTTAGGATGGTGTGATAAAAGCAACATATTTTTTCTGCCTTGTACCAGAAGCACTCTATAATAACAGCGGAAGATTGAAAATGCAATGTGGACTGCACAAACGTGATATAGGCCTATGTCGTCCTTGTAATTGAATCCACGATGTTTGAACTTATGAAGTACATCGCTGCATCTTCAGCTGGGAGCTGGCTGATTACCGCATTGAAAACAGCATCTAATTCAATGACTGAAGTAGTTTGTTTAGCAGTGGGTTTGGTGGCCGGGGCACTGACTGCTGTTTCACTGGCTGTTGACGCATTTCTCCAGTGGGATGATGATCATCATTTCTGGCAGATAGAGACCGCCATTGTTAAAGACTCGGTGGTGGCTGCACGGGCCTACACCAACAGACTGCTTATGGACAAATATGATGATATTTTAGAAAATATTGCTGGTGTATATTTTGTATTTGTTGATCTCTTTGTTGTCCCTCTGTCCACGACATCTTACGTTTTGATTTTCGCTCTTGTCTGCACTTTTGTCCTGATTGTGAAAGATTATGTAATTAATGCCTTGTGCAGGGTGAGCCATCACATATTATCTTGCAGCAGGCGTAACGACCGACAAAATCACCGACAGGCACCACAATTCCCGCAAAATATGCATATGGAACAGAGGCTTCCATTGGAGAGGGGTGTGTCTGATGCAGATCGTGACGAGTCACTTCTGAGTAACGTAGTACGACCACGGTGCAGAGTGGCACAACCCAGGCCGCAAAGTATGCCACATCGTGGCCAACAGCTGCAGGTGCCTCCAATGCGTCCCCGCCCACCGCCACCAATGAAGACTCCACATGCCCCACTAGCATCAGCAAGCAGTTCAGCAGCCCATCGTCTGGGCTCATCTGGAGAGCAGAACCAGAGGCAGGTCACTCCTAAAAGCATTAGCTCACCGCCTCCCCACTCACCCAACTTACCTGTTCCAAAGTCCAACACCACCGCCGATTATCTTGCGAGGCAACTGGAGGCGGAGCGTGATCGTCAGTTGTGCGTGGTCTGTCAGGACAACGTCAAGAACATTGTGATCATGCCCTGCAAGCATCTCTGCATCTGTCTGGAGTGTGTAAAGGAGATAACAGGCCAGCCATGGCGAAAGGCAAGGAAGTGTCCACTCTGTCGACAGGCCATCAGAAGTTACCTGGAAGTCTATGCTTGAAATAACATGTATGCTGGTGTAGAAAAAGGATGAGAGCGACTGTCCTGCACTTGTGTACATCATGTCGACATTTATGTTTTGTGACCAATAATGGCCCATCTGTCAGATAGAAAGGGATGGGCAAGCCATGCCCAGGTTTTGAATTGGGATATTCAATCTTACTACCCTACCCTAAGGTTCTGGTGAACTCTGATTCGTTTGAGCTCTCCGTGGACCTATTTTCTTTAGATTATGACCAACACTTGTGCATGGACACTTTTAAAGCCGCCAGACCATAAATGTACAGTGAAGGTATGGTGTGTTGTATTGTGGGAACTGAAAGGTGCAGCCCTCCCCTATCAAGAGGGCGTGGCACATGATGCGCTAGTTTTGCCACTGTAAATGAGAGGGTCTCAGACCGGCTGACCACACCCACTTCTTACCTTGTCTTCCATATAATTATCTGAAATCCAAAACTGTTAACTCTTGTGCGTAGTTAGACTGCTGTATTGAAACTAATTGGCACGCAATTAGTTTATTTATTTAAAATTAATTTATTTAAAAATACATAGCCTTGAAAATCATGTACTGTAAATTTAAGAGGCTATGTAATAATTTCTGTCGTCTCAACTTTATGCTTATCACCTGAAATGACTTGCTATATCAAGCCACTTGTGCCAGAATGAGACATTAAAGATACTGTACATAATGCTAAAAGGAAGAAATGAACACGTATCTCAGTTTGTTGGTTGCGAGGTTGTTCATAAGTAAAATGAAACTTCTATTCAGTACTTCTCCATCACTTTTTGGTTAAAACTGGAATTTGTTGCCCTGATTTATATTAGGCATTGTCAACTCTACTGCTCAGCATATTTATGCTGTTTGAAATTAAAAGCAAACAGTTCAGCGGTAAAGCAAAATTAAGAAATTACATGAAACTAAAACAGGTACTCTATCTGTAATACTCATCTGCCAACTGTTTTATTGAAACAACACACTTTCAGAGTTGCGCAATTTATTTTAACTGCAATGAACAATATGTACATGCAAACAGTAACTGTAATTTTCTAGTATATACAGGTATGTTCACCAAGTACTATCCCAAATCTGTAAAATATTTAACACTGCTATGTACTATGTGTCCTTTGTACCCCTTCAACGGTTAGAAAGGGCGAGTTGGGGGAGACCACTGGGAGGGACATTCAAATGCATTGTTGACGACGCATGACGTTCTTGTAATGATACTATGGGTTTATGAACATTTAGAATAAAATAAGTTGTGTACATTGTATGCTCCTCGCCATATGCACAAGAACCGGTACGTGCACATGGTTGTCCCTCCCACTGGGGCTCTCGAAATCATTAACAAAGTGCCATCTTGTGTCCATGCACACAGCGGCTTATTCCAATGCCTTGCGTTTCACTAAATTATGAACCCAATGTAAATATCAGCTGAAGTGGACCTGTGACTTGTTTGCACCATGCATGAAGGGCTGGTGTTTGGCTAGGATTTTCATGGGTCGATATTTCAACCCAGGCTAAAGGGGCACTCACCATGTTATTTGGCTGTGTTTGAATGAGGAACTGGTGAGATATTTTTTATTTGTTTTATTTTTATTTTTATTGGTAATGAAACCAAGGATTCCTCAAATGTACCCTAAGCACTGTAGCTCGAAAGCCTGAAGAAACCTGTAGAGAAGACAATGAGAAGAACTTGCAGTTTTAGAGGTGGGAGGAAAAGCCCAGAGGAATATTCTGAGGAAAACCCACGGAATCAGGTAGGAACTGAAAACCCAATCCACATATTGGCCCGGGCGGGATTCGAACCCGGGTCGCAGCAGTGGAAGCCGAGGAAAGAACCGCTACGCCAACCTGACTCCCCCATGAATTTTTTGAAAATTTAGTTTCAGAGCACAATACTATTGGCATCAAACTGGAAAGAATAGCACATTCAGGTCACGCAAGATTTCCTCGGATTAAAATTAAAGAAGTACAAAGCATTTGTTCTTAAAGATATTTGCTGAGGTGCAGCTTGATTCTGTAAAGTCAGTATCCGCATATTCTGTATCATCACATAGTCCATTTGAGCTTAGTTTACACTGGCTAGACTTAAAAGGTTCCGTTTCCCAAATATCTATTCAAATGTTGTATTCAGGCTGGGAAAGAATGTTGCATCCTGATGCGAACTTTTTCGTCATATATTATCTCAATGAAGGTCGGTCGTTGCAAAACTGCTGAAAAGACATAAATCTGGGACTGAGAAACACTTCCAATTTTGTTTGAAAATGCTTTGAAAATGCACTCGACTCTCCATAGACTTGTACACAACGAAAGAATCGGCATCTGGATACTACATTCTTTCCTCAGGTATTTTTAAAACATATTTTTGTTTTTGCTGAAAGACCACTCCAGTTAATTACATGATCGGCTAATTACGCGTATATCAAGCCACAGTTTAAATAATGTTAACGGTAAGATTTATATTTCACTGTTAAAAAAAGACTATTTCTCATTAAATAAATGCAATAAAATTGCCAAGTTATAAATCAATTAATGATAATAAAAGAGGGCATTAAGCTGTCCTTGAAATAAAAAGAAAACCTGTCAAGCTAAATTGAATCCTGTTGTGATTTTTTTTGTTTTTGTTTCTAAAACATGGTTTGTGGCTTGTCAACTTTAAGAGAGAATTAAATTTCAACATCAGTTCAATGACTGAACATCGTTTTTTATTAAAAATAAAAGGCAAATAAAAAGCATGTTTTTAATTGACAATTTTTAAACTGACACTTTTCAAGCTTTAAAAAAAAAAATTCCTCTGGCAAAAGGCAATGTTACATCAAACATTTCTTTAACCAGTTTTATGTGGTCATTGAGGAGTTTTTACAAAGTTCTATCTACGACCTTTCTTATTTACAATTTTCAACATACATGTATAATCCACACCCAAAATATCCTTGGTTGTAGAGCAAATGAAACCGAACCTTGATCTTGCCATCAAAAGATGAGAATAGGAACAAAACGATCAAGGGCGGATCCAGGGGGGCGGGGCCCAGCAATGGGGGCCATGGGCCTCCCGCCCCTCCAAAAAAAAAAAAATTCACCAATTTTTTTTAAGTGACGTTGCAATAAAGGCAGGCACTGCTTACAGCACCATCTGTTCCTCAAAATTTGGTTAAAGTGGTCAGAAATTGCCTCAGATCGCACCACAGTTGGAAAGACCTTTCATTGTTTTCTTCAAAGTGACAGCTTGCAAGAAAAAATAATTTCACAGTGACTTTAGTCCCATTATTATCTTTAAAACAAGTATGCTTTTCAACAATAATTACGTCAGTTACTTTTTGGATAGCTGTAAATGATGGACTGTAGCTTTAAAGCATGAACCCTATATGAACAAATTAAAATGAAAAAAGACAGTGGAAGTTCTACCCCACTGTAACTATACACGTAGTTATTAACACTTAATTTTCTTCTTGATCTGAAATTACAAACACCTCTTCATCCTCTTCTATCTCAGTAACCTCCTCTTCTTCTGATTCCCCGACTTCATCAATGAAAATCATATTGTCAAAATCCGGCATCTCCCCCAACCACTCACCCTCTTCATCTTCCTCAGCGGTCGAACTGGTTTCCTCCTCCAACGGATCAGATTCCTCATGTTTGTTCTTCTGGGAGCCTGACTCTTTCCTCTCCTCTTTGGATGTTGGTGACTGAAGCGTATCTGTTTTGCTGGCGACATTCTTTTGGTTTGATTTATTGGCAGATTTTGCAGCATCTGAACCAGAGGATGTCTTGGATTTGGAGTCTCCGTAATTTGTCAAAGCGGCTTTTCTACCTTCCTTGTTGATCTCCGATGAAGATGATTTGGATGTGGCTGATTTGGGCGTGGCTGATTTGGGCGTGGCTGATATGGGTGTGGACGTCTTCGAAACTCTTTCTTTTGAAGTTTGGGAATTGGTACCGTTCATGGCGGCAATTGTTGATGAGGACATCTTGGGAATGGAGATTACAAGTTTTGGTATTGGCTGTCTTGGAAGTGTTTCTTTGGATGTTGTGTCATTTGAGGATTTCTCTCTCGGTGTCAGAGTCCTGTCAGCAGTTCTGTCATTTTTCCTAGAGACATGAGATGCATCTCGTTCAGAATTAATGGTCATTGCATCCTTCTTGGACCCGGTATCATTACTGGGTGTTGTTTTCTCTTTGGCCGTTATTTTCTCTTTGGGTGTGGTGCCTTGTTTGGGTGTGGTGCCTTGTTTGGGTGTGGTGCCTTGTTTGAGTGTGGTGCCTTGTTTGGGTGTGGTGCCATGTTTGGGTGTGGTGCTTTGTTTGGGTGTGGTGCTCTGTTTGGGCGTGGTGCCTTGTTTGGTCGTGATGCTTTGTTTGGTCGTGGTGGCCTTACTTGGAGTGGCATCCTTTGCTGGCAAGGTGTTTTTGGGCGGGGCACCCTTCTTGGATGCGGCATCCTTGGCTGTAGTTTCCTTGGGCATGGCATCTTTCTTGGGTGGGGCATCTTTCTGGGGTGGGGCATCTTTCTGGGGTGCCACGTCTTTCTTGGGTGGGGCATCCTTCTTGGACGCAGCATCCTTCTTGGAAGCAGCATCCTTCTTGGGTGCAGCATCCTTCCTTGGTGGTGCATCTTTCACAGGAGTGGCATTTTTCTTAGACGGGGGATCCTTCGTGGCCGGGACATCCTTGTTAGCAGGAGCATGTGTTTTGGCTCCATCATCTCTCTCTTGGCTGGTCTTCCCTGTTGTAGACACCTTATCCTCACTGATCGGCGCCCCTGGACTTGCCTTGAGGCTGGCCACGGATGACTTGACGCGCTTGGCATAGTACAGCTGCAGGGTAAAAAAAACATATTTCATTTTTGTGGCTTAACAGGTTTTTTTTTTTTTTTTTTTAAGAAAATGAAGGTATCTGAGGCACATTTTACAAATTCTATGAAGTGTCAAAAATCAATTTTCACACCCTGCACTATGTCCACTTAAAGCGATGTCCACTGTATATTCATTGCAAAAAATTGTTTGGTATCAAATGTAGGTGCTGTAACGAAAACCAGAAAGCATGAAAAGGTGGCTCATGGGGATAAAAGGAGGGGAAATCGACATTTACATAATTAAAAACAGCTTTCTCTGCAGCTAGCAGTAAAACATACTTCAACTTGTAAGTTGTTTAACTTTTTAACCTCCTGCTGTTTAAAAGGTCACCAACAGTCAAAGTTTCCTTCCACTTCCCCTGGTATACTTATAACACACCAATGATCACTTGACCAATGTTGACCCAACAGCATGGCTCAGAATGCATGTTAGCATGGGAGGGTTCATCTATCTTTTCTGTCATTTCTATCAAGCACCATTGCTTAAGTAGACAGTACTGGTGCATTAATAGGGAGGTTTCCCAAGCGAACAGATACGCTTACACTTACGCTTAGCTATCTGTATCCGTTTTTTACTTACGTGTAGCGAGCGAGATATGCGTGTCGTCTGCACGTTTAGCGGATAGTGAGTGGCGTATGACGTCATACGTGCAGACGACACGCATATCTCGCTCGCTACACGTAAGTAAAAAACAGATACGGATAGCTAAATGTAAGTGTAAGCGTATCCGTTCGCTTGCCAAACCTCCCTACTATTTCATGTAATGAACAGGGCTTGACGAAGAAATGCTCTCACGAAGTTCTTGTTGGTAGGCAACATAGTGTTGTCATCAAGTGGTTTGGTTTGTATCTACAGCATTATGGAGTGGAGTGCTATGCCCTCGTGGTTAAGGGCATTGGATTTGTGTTCTGTGGGTAAAGCTGCAGGTTGTGGGTTCGAGTCCAGCCCGGGGTCATGGTGTGTGTGCCCTTGGGCAAGGCACTTTGTCACTCATTGCTTCTCCCCACCCAGGAGTAAATGGGTACCTGTGAGGGCAGAGATGGTTACTGTGATTGGATTAGCTTCCTTGCGCCTATCAGGCTGCATCGAGCTGTATGCTCCCCAGGGAGCTACGATGGTATTTGGAATGTTTCTTGGGCCCAATGAGCAGGGGTAATAATGATGTAGGACCTTGAGCACCAGTCCTGGTGGATACATGGGCTTCATAAATATCCACTATCATTATTATCAAGGTTTGCCGTCCTTTCACCTTGACTTTGTGCTTGTGGACGGGCGTCCGGCAATGAACCGCCTTGGCTGCCTTCTCCTTGTTGTAGAACTTGGAGCAGAGCTTACAGAAGAAACCTGTGATGGGGATGATGAACTCCGGCCCTGAAAAAAAGATGACAAACATCGGATGTTAATTTCTAAATTATACACAGATATCATCCAGTTGACAGATTTTGGGAGAGTGTGGCCTAGTGGTTAGGGTTCGAGGTTCATGATCAGAGGGTCAGGGGTTCGAATTTAGCTGCTGACCATGTGTTGTGTCCTTGGGCAAGCCACTTTATCCGCACTTGCCTCTCTCCACCCAGGAGTATAAACGGGTAACAGCATTAGCTGGGATTAAATTTGCAATGGTCTGACATGCAATCCCGGGGGTAATAGCATTTTCAGTCGTTTCATGCCAACGAAACCGGAAAGAAATACTGGACGGATAGGCCATGCTCATTGGCTCGTGACAGACAAACTTTACTTTTTTAACCGACTTAAGGTTTTGTTGATTTTCTCAGTCAATAAAGGGTTGTTAATTGATTTGTTTCTCCACTAAAAACCTGACCACATATGGGGAAGGATTTCATGAAATGTTATTTCTTCGAAGTGATTTTTCCTTGCCTAAAGTCTGAATCAGGCTTCAGGCTTTCTCCGTTTATTGTAAATGTACAAATAATGAATGTTTGTGAGTGCAATTTTAAGAATAATTTCATGAGGTGACACAACCTCATGGTTGTGTCACCTCATGAAATTATTCTTACCATTGCACTCGTAAACATTCATTATTTGTACGTTAAACAGAGAACGACACACATCGAGGGCTTCGAGGCTAGTACACGTACTGTGGCTGTACTGACTACATTCAAGTGTTTTAATAGGAAATCTCATACAGCCAATCAAATAAAAAAACTTGGCTAAGGTTTCTGTTAGAGATGACCCATTTGTGAAGAGAGATTGTACATACCGACGATATCGGCCTTCTCTTTGGTCGAGTTCTTGTCACTATCAACCTCCTTCCCGTCCTCAACGTCAATACTCTCCTCTACTTCCATTTCAACCTCCTTCTCATTGTAGTCATCCTCCCCTTGTTGCACGTTAGGATCCAATTCGCTCTCTTGAGCCTTCTACAAATTAATCAAGAAATTATTATTATTTATCTTTTGTATAACTTTTAACACCTGAAAGGGGATTTTCAAGTGCAAGCTGTGATAAATTCAGCAGACTGTCAGTAGAATTTCGCTGAATTTTTGTCTCGTTGGAACCGGCTAGTTAGTAAAAGTACTTTGTCAGCAAACTTGGCAAACTTTGGAGACATATATTATAGAGGTCTGCCCTTTATTGAATTTGGAAAATGCACCTTCCTTTGTGCCTTTGAATGAGGACACGTACTTACCCGAATGTGGGACAGCAGTTTCATATGACCGCGTAGGCACTTCACGTTCAAGAAGGTCAGGTCACACAGTGTGCACTTGGGTCGAATTTTCACATATCTCTGAAATAAATAACAAAAGAACAGAAGTAAAAACGAAAATCACATCTTCGTAAACAGATGTGGTAAACTGAACAAAGTCTTAGGGGAAAAAAAATGTTTAATGGCGTCTGTCAATAAGCCACTATGACTAGATGTGTACCTGTTTACACAATACAGCTTTAATTACTCCCCTTTTAAAACAATATACCATCACAACACGCTTACACTTTGACTAAAATTAGCCAACCAAATTTTATGCATTGATAGTCACCAAAAAAACAAATTTACAAGAAATTACTCATTCTTCTTTTCCAAATTGTCTGTTTTAAAAACTTTATTTCAGATAGCGCAGGCTATGCCTACTTGGCACTGGTCTTTCAGGAAAATCAACCCTAGGCCCAATAGAGTACCGAAGTGTGACGTCGTTTTGAAGCGGGAAGTGTAGTGCAAATGAATGGAGTACGTGCGCGTGTTGGTTCACAGGCTGAATCACGCGCTAATGTCTTTTACACACATAATTGTGTGCGTGATGTATTCACTTCGGTACTCTATTTGCCAGGATTCATCCTCAATCCTTCAAAATCATTCAACTGCCGCCATGTAAAGGTAAATGAAACCTCAATCCTTCACAATCCTCCCACAATCACAATCAACTGCCTGGTTGATTTTGTAGGATTGAGGAGGGTAAGCGTAAAAGGGCATACCAGCTTGTGGCCAGTGAGAGAATATTGCGACTTGCCTTGTGGTCCTCTGATGCCATGTGCTCCTCGTAGGTGCAGGCGTAGGTGCGGAAGCATTTGCCGCAGAAGAACGCCTGATCCAAACGGCCGAGGGGTGTGGACGTGACAAGCAGTCTGAAATTAAACCAACAGCAATCTCAATATGAATAGGTTAATGTCCGAGACCTTGAATGATTCATATGGAAATCAGCAACTACCACTCTGGATGTCGTAATAATCCAGAGGGCTGTAATCAATTCTAACACAAGCCAAGCGCAACTTTTTCACAAGTCAATCACAAGACAACAACAAGTCAAATTGTAAGTCAAATCACAAGTAACTACAGTGAAACTCAGTTATAACGAACATTTGGCTATAACGAACATCCCCATTGGCTCCCAAAACAGGAAATTATTTTATAACTCACAATCACTATTATGAACGACCACTATCAATGAACATTTTTTATGGACCCCATGGTGTTCGTTATAACGGTGTTCCACTGTAGTAGTGGGATTAAAATCCGGATTTTTAAAATTTGGTTTGAATTGCACTATACGGTTATGGAAACGGGATATTCGACACCAACCATACAAAAATCGTACTTCCCCTTTTTTTGTGACACAGGCTAAAGAAAATAACTGTGACATCCCCATTTGCTCCATGGTCTCTGATTGTAACTGCATTCACTGGCTAGCAGTCTTCTTGGTTCATGAGTACTAGCCTGCCCGTACGACAGATCAGAGAGTTCCCACCAATGTTTTTTTTTTTTCATTATGACCGCTCCAGAATATTTTTGTAAAAGGCCCGGTTGGTCACTGAATTCCGCAAACTGTACCCAATTATCGTGGAGAGTATTGCATGCATCACCACACTCGTCACTTTTTGTTGGCATGACTGTAGGGTGAATGGGAGCTTTTTGGTAAAATCGGAATTAGGATAACCGGATTTTGAAATCGCTGATTTCTCCCACCACCACAAGTAGCAGGGGATGGACAGTTACAGACGAATTTCTTTGTCACACTTCATTTCAAGTTTATTCCAGTCCCATTTTCAAATCGCCTGGAGCATTATTCAAATCTGCAACTTCCACCGTACCAGTGCTCTAGCATATAAGCTATCCATCCCTATACTAGCAGTACCTACATGTACATGTAATTTGTCAATGTCCTGGCTCAAGAGGTGCTAGTCAGAAGCCATGTGGAAACCCAAATGTGCCATGTGGCCAAGGACTACGACCAATACAACATAAGCTACGCTGTCATCTCCTCAAAATGCCTATGGGAGATCACTCAAGAGGTAATGAACCGTTTACTTAAGATGTTGTCACTTACTGCACGGGCGGCGGGATGGCAAAACTAGGCACAGGGGCATTCACCCAGTTCTGGAATTCCTTCTGTCCACCCTGGTGTTTGTCCGGCAGGTCACCCAGCTTGGTGATGAGGGCCTTCCTGAGGGCGGCATGGCTGGGCTCGTGGAGACGCTGGAAGGTGGCCTTGTGTCTGCGCCCCTCGATGTGAGACAGGTAAATCTAGAGGGGGGGGGGGGGGGGGGGGGAGAGGAGGTAGAGAGAGAATCATATCCTTTGTTTTTCAATCAAGGGATTTCACTTAAGCTACAAAGCCCTTGGTGCATTAACTAGGAACCATCCTACATGTCTCAAACCCACTTACAGTACAAAAGTTCAGAGTAACAAAATGGCATTTCCATACACAGGGGCAAATGATGATGAAACAGGATTAGATAGCCTAAGACTCTTGTTTGGGTGCTCAGTGTGTATCAATCTTATTGCCAACTGTCTCCATGAAAGGTAATATACAAACTTTGCAAACATCAAAAAGCAAAACTACCAAGTTATGAAATACCTAAGTACTTTACTATAACAATGTATAATAGTCTCAAGCATCCTGTGAAATCATGGCACCTGGTGTGCTGTCATTTGAAAAAAAAATTGAAGTTTTGTATCAAATCCGTAAAACATTCGTGAACGGGTGCAATTAGCCAGCTAGTCTGGCTCCCTGGCCTGACAAGCCCCGACGTCTATAAATTGCTGTTTTGTCTGAAGTAGGGTCAGGGAACCAGGCTACAAGAACAACATTTTTTTTCTTGGTTTTTCCAGCATCTATAACCACAAAACTATAAACAGGTCAGTGTAACAATATTGGCTATAAAATACTACCCCCCCAAAAAAACCTGTCTATTTCTGAAAAATACAGCAAAAGAAAACCAAAAACTGTACATACCGACCAGCCAGTGCAGTACTTCCCACATATGTAGCAGTACCAATCCACCACTTGCTTGTCCTTGACATGCTCCTCCAGATCGACTTCTTTCAAGAGTGACAGCTTCAAGATAAAAGACAAGTATAAAAAAGCCACATTATTGAAATGTCACTTTGAAAAAATGCATATTTTCTTTTCGCAGAATTGAAAAGATAGAAAAAAAGAGGCAATGTGTTATCAGTAATGCAGCAAAATATATGTAACTGCTGTGACTGGCAGCGTGCATAAATCAAAGGAACATAAGAGAAAAAAGTACCCTCTATTTACTTGAAGAGAAAAATAGTTTCAGGATTACTTAATCACAAATTTGAACAATAATTATTAGTCTTGCGTTTGTTGGAAAAAAAATGAGAGAAAACAGAAATACAGGATCCAACATGGCTCACAAGTTTATACAATTATGTTATATTTATGATCTGTATCAATATTTTATTCTTCAATCAAAGAAAAATTTAAATAAATACACGAGTTATTTTAAATGTACACACACTGAAGATTATTACACTTGAGGGAAAATATAAGAAAACAGGAAACAAGAGTTGTGAATATTTGAAGACAAGATATATGGATCCTCAAAATCGAATGAAAGGATTTCAGCGAAGGAAGACACTGGTATTTGTGTGCGCAGGGAGAAGGATTTAGGAGTCAGATGTAAGACAAAGTTTGGATGGTAGGCCTAGGGTATGCACTCTGTGCAGCAACAGTGGATTCCACTTAACCTGGTGGTTCAGAACACTGGACTCACAATCTGGTGTTTCAGAGGCAACAGTGGTGTGGGTTCACACCCGGGCCCGCACACGTGTGCCCTTGAGCAAGGCACTTAACCATTATTGCTTCGTCCTTCGGATGGGACATAAAGCTGTAGGTCCCGTGTGTTGTATAATGCAAGTAAAAGAACCCAGCAAACACTTATCGCTAAGAGAAGGGGTTCGCCCCTGTGTTTCTGGCAGTTATCCTCATACAGTATGAGGCTGCTCGCGACAGCCACACCAGGCGTTTGTTCAGAAGCTAACACATAACACATACACCCCTTACTCCTTAGGCCTTTTTGCTAAATTCTCTGCAAAATCCTCCAACTGACCTCACGGAAACATAGCATATATAGCCTCAGTCCTGCAAATTCCTCCATTATTTCTTGAATATGGTCCGTGGAGGGGTGACCACTGCCTGCATCCTGCAAAATCCTGCGGCAGTGACTGTCAATATGTTGAGGCTTGGCCAGTGACATCCTGGAGCAGTACGGAGGATTTCAAGCATAATCCAGGCCTATTTTGTATGCATGGCTGAGCAAAAACCACACAAGCTCCGGCCCAAGACCTTGACAAAGTGCATCCCATGAGATCAGTAATGCACTTTTGCCATGTAACCTCAATCCTCCAAATTCCTCAACTTTGGCAAAAGAGGATTTTGAAGGATTCGGGGTGGTTAGGGTTAATTGCCTACATGTACATGTACACCAGTCAAGAGCAAGTGTGTGAATGTACACGGAGTACCCACTGTACGTGTTTGTGGAGTATGTGCACAATGACAATAAATGCAATCTGTACAGCACTTTCTACATGTGTTTCAAAGTGCTCTCAGCTGTGTGAAGAAACGAGTCTCTGACCGAATTTTGATTGAGTTTATAAGACCTAGAACATCTGTGCATGAAAACACACAAGAGCACACCATCATGAATTTCGATAGGCCCGAGGACAATGCTTTGTGTTTCCATTGTCCCTGTAATATAACACTCTCCCATAGACTAAGCACATAATCATACGATAGAGGACCGTTTTCAACAAAAGACCCAATTAACACTCAAGGACTGAAAGGATCTTTTGTTCTCACTTAGTGTGTCTGTCCTCTATCGTAAAGCCATACATGCATGTACATGTACACAAGCACTTGCACATCTGCAAAGCATTGTAATGTCCTTCGGTTCTCTCATTCACCGAAGAAGTACTTGTCTATAAATATGATAATGTTGGCTGAATAATAGGTTAAACACTGGAGAGCAGGAGGTTGTGGGTTTGAGTCCCGCCCGAGAAGCTGTAATTTTTTTCTCGCGGGCGCTCTTACGGCACTGAGTATGCAGTGTTTTACGTCAGTGACGGGCAAAACCCAATATTGTATTCACATCACCCCGACCCAAATTCCAATCTTGTGAGTAGTTTGGCTGCTATGTCTGCAGCTACGTCAGAGTCGAACCAGCTGTCCGACCCTGGTGGGCTTGGTGGTCGAGTGATAAAACGTCTGCACTGGTGAGCAGCATGTCGTGGGTTCGAGTCCCGCCCGAGTAGTTGTGATTTTTATCTCATGGGCACTCAGACAGTGAGTATGCAGCGTTTACAAAATACCAATGTTGCATTTACATCACCCTGACGCAAATTTCATCTTGTGAATATGTTCAACAATGTTGACTGCATTCAGTAGTGGAGTATCAATGTTTAGCATTGGGTGTTTCACTTCCCACTCGGTTGCATGGTTTGTCCCTCCTCTGCTGTGAACGCTTTGTACGTGTATTTCTCTATCACCTGAAACTTCAGCGATATCTGCATTCAGCATTGAGTACACTGTACATCTGCCACATTAAAAGTTAATGACGATTGACCGGCCGCCTTCTGCACATTCATACCTCATGCTTAACGCAGAACCCTATTGGTACCGGTATGTGCACAGATAGATGTTTAAATTAGGTTGATCCTTACATCATACATGTAGGTCAACCTGACAATTGACAAGCTGGCCAATATCCGACAAGCTGGCCAATATCAGACCAGTCTTGAAATTCTTGCCATTCATGGGGCAGCTTCTATCGGGTCATCCATAACCCGCTGTTGTATTTCAAAAACCTGGCCGCCAAATTGACCAATCAACAGCTTAGTCCACAATTTCTAAAGTCGACTTCGAAAAAATAAAGTTTCCATCTCTCGCATACACCAGACGTTGGTTACGGCAAGGGCTCCATCGGACAGCGGGTGATACTCAGACTACATGTACAGCAACCTTGGCGGGTTCACAAGATGCTCTATCCAGAGTCCAACAAAACAGCCTACCTGCATCCTTCAAACTGGATGAGACATCTTTCCTGCACAATCATCAAATTCTTTATAATTTTATTATTTCAAATTCATCCATTCTGTGCACACAGTTACCATCTGGTGGTTTTAAGCCTCTAGTCCATTTCATGGGATTGAGAGGCTATGACTGAATAAGTTTGTGTCTGTGGTTTTGAGGTTTTTCATCAGAATGTATGATGAACAGCCACAGCCATCCAGACATCAATTTTCCATTTCAAACAGGGCCATACTCAGGACTTGGTCTGCTCTTCCCTGGTAGCCATATTAGATCATTCATGGTAATGATTGAACCACTGTGTTTGAGAGAATGTCGCCTCCCGTTTGATGACTGGGCGTTCCATTTGGTTGCCCTCCATCTCTTGTTCTGTTTTGTACACTGATGAGCACTTTAGCAGATTCTGAGGTGTCCTCTGGTTCAAACAACTTGTATCAATATAAAATCTGGTTGGAACTTGCATTCTCCCAATGACAAGTGACATGTGTCACTTGTACACATTGAATTCTCCTCATTGCCTGATCCCCGCATAGTTGCAACCAAACCCTACACAAGATGACCTTGCATGAATGTCCAAATCTGGAAACACACATCAATCACGCCTTCTTCAAATATTGTTAACTTTGTTTCCAGTAATTATTGCAGCAGTGTCTTCAAGATGCCTCTGTCAAGTGTGACGTAGGCCAGACCTGGTGTCCTAACGCCTGTGTCCCTTACCCATATTGAAATCAACACGAGTCCACAGAGAACAGAACCCCATCGAACATGGCTTGGCAAAGTGTACCTCTCACACTTACAACGGGGTGTACATGGGTCGGCTGTAGATTTTAGATATCTACCTAGATATCAGAACCTCTCAACCCTGGTCCCGACCAGGGTCCTGACTAGGGTCCTGACCAGGGTCCCGACTAGGGTCCCGACCAGGGTTGGTCCCGACCAGGGTTGGTCCAGACCAGGGCTGGTCCAGACCAGGGTTGGATTTTACCCAAGTAGAGTGCCAGACCCATGTAGAAGCCGTGTTGGATTCTTGCTAGTGTCAAAGGGGTTCCTGAAATCCACGTGTTGGATCTTCTGGCTGATTTCGCATCAGATAGTTGAAGGACGTGGCCTAAGAATGAGTGGGTAGGTATTTTCATGTCATGTGGTCACATTAGAGGATGCTGTAGTACAAGTAGGTATTGGAGAGGGGAAGACACTGGCAGAGTGTGTCTTGGGGGGTAACGTTCTCATTTCATCTACAGTAGCTCTCTTTGTTCAAGCAGGGGATAAAGAGGCAGAGGAAGTCCTTGAGGACAACATGAAGGATTGTACCTTACAGGTCACAGCCGTGCATCCCTGATGGTGGAAAGGTGGGAATCCTCGACTGCTTAACTGTGGACAACGGCATCCCATCAATTGACCTCTGGTCAAGGGATGCCAGACTCAAGAGTGTCATCACGGCAAGTCAACCATGAATCACTCCAGTTTAAGAGAACTAAGGCACGGGTGGTGTTGAAACCTTCTATTTGGTTGTGCACGGTGTAAGTGATTTATGCACACCTCCAAATCTGCCCTGTCTCTCGACATCCCTCTAGCTGGATGCCGTCCTGAACCCCTGACTATCTGCTGGGGTCATCATATACTCAGAGAGGGTCCTCTGGATTCTGCCGTCAACCGGAGAGCATATGTTGCTGTGATTCAATACCCGTTTGCATTATGCTGTACTTGTACAGTACAATTGTGGAAAACACTTAATTTTATACCATAAAAGTACAGGATTTCCTGCACAAATACGGTCAAGAACACTGAATGCTACTCTTGATGGCAACTTTTGAAAACAATGCATACAAATCTTACAATTTTGCTATGTTGATGACAGTTTACAGCACATACATGTATTGCAAGTTGAACAATAGTGATATATTCAGAAAAGAAGAAATCATAAAACAGAGATATCAGGAAAAGAAGAAAATGATTGTTACACAAGTGCCTCAAAGATTACGGAAACATGCAGTCATGGCACTTTTAATACCAAAATATACCAAACAATAATTCCGCGTGTACAAATGCCTTCTGAGAGATCTTACCTGATGCTGAATGCTGCTTTCTCCAATTTGCTGCAGGAGGGGTGTAGCCTTCAAAGTTGCTGCAATCTTGCTGGCCTCTTCTTCTGTCAATTTTTTCTCTTCTTTCTTCTTCTTGGTCTTATCACCGCTGCTGGTCACTGAGGCCTTAGGGTCAGAACTTGGGGTCTTAGCTGCATTGGCATCTGCTGACTTTTTGGCATCTGCCGACTTTTTGGCATCTGCCAACTTTTGCATTGCTGCAGATTGTTGGGCAAGCCTCCGTGCTGTAGTCGCCATGGCCACAGCACTCTTTCTAGGGATTATGATGTCAAGTAAGGGTATTGGTTGAGAGGGACCGGGCCGAGTTGATAAGGGTATTGATTGCGAGGGACCGGGCTGAGTTGATGTTTCTTCAGGTTTCTTTTCTTCCTCTTGCTGCTGCTCCTTTGGTTTCTCTGAAGTCGCTGAGGGTTTCTCATGATCCCGTTTGTCAGTTGTTGGCTTCTTGTTCCACATGGCATCCCTTTTGCGTTGGTACCAGGCTGGCATCCTGACTCCCTGGTTGGGTCGGCTGCTGGACGAGTTTGATGAGCTCCTCCCTGCTGAGTCAACCTTCCCAGTGGCCTCGACGGGGCGTCTTCTTTTCCTATCGGGGCTGTCTCCATGCCGACTCTGGGATGGCAGACTCTTCCTGTCGCTGGACCTCCTCCTGTCTCTTCGCTCCCCTGATGGGCTTCTTCGGCCTCGATCACGCCTCTCTCGGCTGCGGCTCCTAGTTCTCCGGGGTGGTGAACCGTGACTCCTTCTCCTGTCATTGTTTCGCGAGTAACTCAGAGACCTTCTTCGGTCCCTATCCCTGGAGGTGTGCCGTTCGCCTCGGGAGCTCTCTCTCCCTCTATCCCTGTCTCTATCATCGCGACGGTCTCGGTCTCTGTCACGATCTCCTAGCCTGTCTGGAGATCTCCTGGTCCTCCCTAGCCGGTCACCTGCATGTCTGGTGTCATGCCTCTCTTGACTGTGACTCCTCTGTTGTCTCAGCGAAGTAATAAAAGAATAAATAGTCAAATGATTGATTCATTAAATTATGCCATGCTGAAAGACAACATTAAAATATCTCAAAAACCTTTTTGACCTGAAAACAAATCATGCCAGTATCTGAACAAATCATGCCAATATATGAACAAAGCAAGTTTTAAAGGTTTATGTACAAAACTAATTTTTTTAACATTGAAGAGTGCATTTATTTTGCGTCGATGACTTTACCTACAAGTTTGCACCCAGAAAGCCTCAAGGAACTCTTAGAGAAACATTTTTACTGTACTATGAACCCTTTAGCAGAAAATTTGCAAAATTATCTATGAAAACTACAGGAAGCAGATTGAGCCATCAACTAATAGTATATTACCAACGTGTATGCTGGATCCCACGATCCAGGACACTTTTTTATGCCATATTCAAATTTCTTCTACATACAGAACAATTTTCCCACTTTTAAAAATCAATTTTACATCTAACCTCTGGAGCCAATTTCATAGAGCTGCTTGAGCACAAAATTTGCTTAATCACAAAAAATCCTTGCTAATTTAATCAGGTTACCCACCAAAACTCCATGCAATTGAAGTTAACAACAGCTAAATACCAGTCACAAGCAATGTACATGTATGTATCACATGGTGTTTTGGCCGGTAACCTGATTATATTAAGCAATCTTTATTTTTTGCTGAAGCAAATTTTGTGTTTTTAAAAGCAGCTCTATGAAATTGGTCCCACTTGCTGTCAGTAAGGTAAGGTCTGTTACATGTATGTTGGAAAGCTCAAAACATCTTTGGTGGCCTTGAAAAGGAGGACAAACCACTTGAGCAGTTCTTCACGAGCGGATGAGTGTCAACTTTGCCATGATTTTTTTTAAATAGAACACAGTGCTATGGGTACACAGTGACAATGCGATTCAGGTACGGTAGCAAGCACATCTCATGAAGAAGAGAACTGATCCAAGTCTTGAATCATGCAGCGAGACATGTTTAGTTTTGGGGTCTTTAGAAGACGAGCACTAAAAATTACAATTACAAGCCAAAGCTTTTTTTTTGGCGTCACAAAATTTAACTTAAATTTTACAGCAGAAATCCACTTTTATGCCGATCACAATACAATTGCATGCAGCAAGGAATGGGCAATTTTTAACAGGCCAAAAATTAATAGAAATAATATACTTGCTATTATTTAAGAACAGTGAATTTGTTTAACTGTAACAGATTGTGGCTTGAAGTTGTAGGTTCCACAACTTTCTTTTTTACAGCACTTGGTAACTGATACATAGGCAAAGCGAACTACTTGCGCAACTTTCTTGTCTTGACAAATGTCCACAAAAAATAATATGAAAAATTTACCCACATAATTTCACTTGCATACTTATGTTTGCATATTTTGCACTATCGTTAAATTTCTATAGCTAATCAAAAGACTATAAAAAACAGAACTACCCAACATTGCTCAGACATTGGCATGAAAGTTTGAACACCAGCGATTACAGAAAATATAAAATTTGTATAAAAGTTAGGGGCCTGACGTTTTCCTAAGTACAGTTGGAACGTCACTATACCGAACACCGCTTTACCGAACACAAAGTCATAGCCCAACAGAGCAATAGGTATTTGCTGTTTTAATAGGTTTTTGTTGTTTTGTTGTATATTCCACCATGTCAGTGCCACCACTTGCAGTTAAATCTGCTGGCGCAGATGAAGTCAAGTCAGTCTCTCTCTCAGTATCAGGGGCTTTTTTTGTCCCAAAATGACAAGACAGTGTTTTTTGGGGGGCGAGCTGTTTTCCCTTTTGGCGGCATATTTGCTGGCCACGGCATACGTGCATGCAGACTTTACAAGGAAAACTTTCGACCAGTCACAATATGGTGAGGTGAACGTTGCCGATATCATAGCAGTGCGCAATGCAGCACTGCAGCGATCACCTAGTGGACTGCTTCAGATTGCTCAATTGCAACACCGCTATTCTTGTTCGAATCTTATTCATGCGCCGCGTTGAAAAAGTCAGTTTTTCACCCAAAAATTCAACTTGACCAAATTTGCTCAAAAGTTCACACGAGGAGCCTAGAGGCCAGAATTGAATTTTCTGAAGAGTTCAACTCATTACATTCAGTATCCAGTGAGAAAAGACAACTTTTTGATTTTTTTACAAAATGCCCCCAAAACTTCAACGTTTTCCATAGCCGGCATCATCGAAAAAGTCAGTTTTTCACCCAAAAATCAAAGTTGACGAAAATTGCTCAAAAGTTCACACGAGGTGCCTAGAGGCCAGAATTGAATTTTCTGAAGAGTTCAACTCATTACATTCAGTATCCAGTGAGAAAAGACAACTTTTTGATTTTTTACAAAATGCCCCAAAAACTTCAACGTTTTCCATAGCCGGCATCTTCGAAAAAGTCAGTTTTTCACCCAAAAATCGAAAGTGACCAAATTTGCTCAAAAGATCACACGAGGTGCCTATAGGCCAGAGTTGAATTCCCTGAAGAGTTCAACTCATTACATTCAGTATCCAGTGAGAAAAGACAACTTTTTCATTTTTTACAAAATGCCCTCAAAACTTCAACGTTTTCCATAGCCGGCATCATCGAAAAAGTCAGTTTTCCACCCAAAAATCAAAGTTGACGAAAATTGCTCAAAAGTTCACACGAGGTGCCTAGAGGCCAGAATTGAATTTTCTGAAGAGTTCAACTCATTACAATCAGTATCCAGTGAGAAAAGACAACATTTTGATTTTTTACAAAATGCCCCCAAAACTTCAACGTTTTCCATAGCCGGCATCATCGAAAAAGTCAGTTTTCCACCCAAAAGTCAAAGTTGACGAAAATTGCTCAAAAGTTCACACAAGGTGCCTAGAGGCCAGAATTGAATTTTCTGAAGAGTTCAACTCATTACATTCAGTATCCAGTGAGAAAAGACAACTTTTTGATTTTTTACAAAATGTCCCCAAAACTTCAACGTTTTCCATAGCCGGCATCATCGAAAAAGACAGTTTTTCACCCAAAAATCAAAGTTGACGAAAATTGCTCAAAAGTTCACACGAGGTGCCTAGAGGCCAGAATTGAATTTTCTGAAGAGTTCAACTCATTACATTCAGTATCCAGTGAGAAAAGACAACTTTTTGATTTTTTACAAAATGCCCCCAAAACTTCAATGTTTTCCATAGCCGGCATCATCGAAAAAGTCAGTTTTTCACCCAAAAATCAAAGTTGACGAATATTGCTCAAAAGTTCACACGAGGTGCCTAGAGGCCAGAATTGAATTTTCTGAAGAGTTCAACTCATTACATTCAGTATCCAGTGAGAAAAGACAACTTTTTGATTTTTTACAAAATGCCCTCAAAACTTCAACGTTTTCCATAGCCGGCATCATCGAAAAAGTCAGTTTTCCACCCAAAAATCAAAGTTGACGAAAATTGCTCAAAAGTTCACACGAGGTGCCTAGAGGCCAGAATTGAATTTTCTGAAGAGTTCAACTCATTACAATCAGTATCCAGTGAGAAAAGACAACATTTTGATTTTTTACAGAATGCCCCCAAAACTTCAACGTTTTCCATAGCCGGCATCATCGAAAAAGTCAGTTTTCACCCAAAAATCAAAGTTGACGAAAATTGCTCAAAAGTTCACACAAGGTGCCTAGAGGCCAGAATTGAATTTTCTGAAGAGTTCAACTCATTACATTCAGTATCCAGTGAGAAAAGACAACTTTTTGATTTTTTACAAAATGTCCCCAAAACTTCAACGTTTTCCATAGCCGGCATCATCGAAAAAGACAGTTTTTCACCCAAAAATCAAAGTTGACGAAAATTGATCAAAAGTTCACACGAGGTGCCTAGAGGCCAGAATTGAATTTTCTGAAGAGTTCAACTCATTACATTCAGTATCCAGTGAGAAAAGACAACTTTTTGATTTTTTACAAAATGCCCCCAAAACTTCAATGTTTTCCATAGCCGGCATCATCGAAAAAGTCAGTTTTTCACCCAAAAATCAAAGTTGACGAATATTGCTCAAAAGTTCACACGAGGTGCCTAGAGGCCAGAATTGAATTTTCTGAAGAGTTCAACTCATTACATTCAGTATCCAGTGAGAAAAGACAACTTTTTGATTTTTTACAAAATGCCCCCAAAACTTCAACGTTTTCCATAGCCGGCATCATCGAAAAAATCAGTTTTTCACCCAAAAATCAAAGTTGACGAAAATTGCTCAAAAGTTCACACGAGGTGCCTAGAGGCCAGAATTGAATTTTCTGAAGAGTTCAACTCATTACATTCAGAAAACAGTGAGAAAAGACAACTTTTCATTTTTTACAAAATGCCCCCAAAACTTCAACGTTTTCCATAGCCGGCATCATCGAAAAAGTCAGTTTTTCACCCAAAAATCAAAGTTGACGAAAATTGCTCAAAAGTTCACACAAGGTGCCTAGAGGCCAGAATTGAATTTTCTGAAGAGTTCAACTCATTACATTCAGTATCCAGTGAGAAAAGACAACTTTTTGATTTTTTACAAAATGCCCCCAAAACTTCAACGTTTTCCATAGCCGGCATCATCGAAAAAGTCAGTTTTTCACCCAAAAATCAAAGTTAACGTAAATTGATCAAAAGTTCACACTAGGTGCCTAGAGGCAAGAGTTGAATCCCCTGAAGAGTTCAACTCATTACATTCAGTATCCAGTGAGAAAAGACAACTTTTTGATTTTTTACAAAATGCCCCAAAAACTTCAACGTTTTCCATAGCCGGCATCATCGAAAAAGTCAGTTTTTCACCCAAAAATCGAAAGTGACCAAATTTGCTCAAAAGATCACACGAGGTGCCTATAAGCCAGAGTTGAATTCCCTGAGGAGTTCAACTCATTACATTCAGTATCCAGTGAGAAAAGACAACTTTTTCATTTTTTACAAAATACCCTCAAAACTTCAACGTTTTCCATAGCCGGCATCATCGAAAAAGTCAGTTTTTCACCCAAAAATCAAAGTTGACGAAAATTGCTCAAAAG